GGATTGATAAAAAGGAATTTAAGGTTAGACAGAAGAAGGTAAATTAAAAGACCAGTGAAATAGTCCAGATTAAACAAGTAAGGGTTGGAGTAGGTCACAAAGCTTAGGGTGCAGCGTGCACTACTGGACTTGCCATTCTTCAGAGTTCTGTAAGTAGCATTGGCAAGATATAGAAAGCAGCTGGATATTGTTTTCTGAGTTTGGTTTGTATTAATTAACATAACTTGCACAGTAGCGCTGTCTTTCTCTTTAAAATATTTTAATTCTCCTAGCAGGTTTTGCCAGTCATTTTCCTACTCTGCCAACATCTTTTGCTTCACTTTTATAAAGTTTTGTATGTTGCATTGGAAAGTTACATAAATATATATTAACATATATTTACATAAAATTTCTAGGAAACATATTTTAGTTATTATAAATTGAATGTTTTTTATGTAGCTTTATATGTAGTTTTAGTTCATAGCTAAACATGAACTCTTTAGATTGTCAAATAAATATTGTTATTTATGCAGGTAATATGTTCAGTGACCCCGCTGGGAGTGCATCTTTTATGTGTTGATTTTATGAGTCCTCAGCATTTTTGGACTCTGGGATATGGCTCTATAAATAATAGTTTTGGAGAGTAAGCTGACAGTTTCAGAGTCCTAGCAGTTAATGCTGCCATTGCTTATATGGAATTTTCCTTTTCTGAAAGCCAAAATTCTCTCTTTTAAATTAAGAACATTTAATTAAAATGGTGTTTGCCCCTAATAGCTAAATATGAACAAAACATAATTGTTTTGAGTCAAGAAAAAGTAGATATTAATTGAATGAGGACATTTCTCTGGAAATATATACTAGTCCTGCATCATTCATATATCCGTACATATTTAGAATTCTTACCTCAAGGGAATATCAAACTAACTGAATCTTTCTATGCCATTAAATCTAAACATAGATAATTATGCATATTATGTACATATGTAGAAGATTAGTTAAGAGTTAAAACTTATCAAAACAGTACTGAAAATCCCTTGTATGTCATAATACAACCAATGTTATATAACTATTAGTTGCATAAATAAATAGATTAATATTCTTTATAAAATCACTCACATTGAAAGATTCAGTATTTTCAAAGGAAAAGGTTACTACCTTATTATAAAAAATATATTACATCATTAGTCTCTTAAAATCTGACAGTTCAACTAGTATATTCTTCTTTAAGCAGGACTGATTAGAAGCAAGTAAAACTGGGGGCTTCACTTGTGAGTTAATTGAGCCATACACAAAATTAGGGCTTGTACTTGTCTTGATGTTCATTACACTTAATGTTTTGTCCTCTTAAGGTAAATTTTAAGTGAGGATTAACCATTCCCTTTTGTTGGTATCATAAATAGCTGTTCAGTTTTTCAGTGTCATAATTTTCCTCCCTAATGCATTCTACCTGTTTATATTAAATTCATCAACTCAATGAATAATAGAAGTTCACTAAAGAACAAATTTGCTTTTCACCATGAATATCTTCTATAAAGAAAACAATACTTGATATTTATATTTCTTATTTTTCAAACGGTTTTCTATCTTTATGCCTATGTTTGTTTCCTTTGTATATTGCTTGTTTTCCTGGTCCAACCTTCTCTCTGATGGTTCCTACTGCCTCTTACAATGTCTTGACATGGCCCAGGGTTTTCATAGCTGTTGAGGTCATTTACATAATAGCTCTCTTTCTACATGCATTTTTTATTGTTTATATAAAAGGAATAGATATCACATGTTTTTCAGGATACATATTTAAGATTTTTTTTTTTTCATTGGAAAGACGGATATACAGAGAGGAGAGACAGAGAGGAAGATCTTCCATCTGATGATTCACTCCCCAAGTGAGCGCAACGGGTTGATACTATGCCAATCCGAAGCCAGGAGCCTCTTCCGGGTCTCCCACGCGGGTGCAAGTTCCCAAAGCTTTGGGCCGTCCTCGAATGCTTTCCCAGGCCACAGGCAGGGAGCTGGAAGGGAAGCGGGGCTGCCGGGATTAGAACCGGCGCCCATATGGGCTCCCGGGCGTGCAAGGCGAGGACCTTTAACCACTTGCGCCACCGCTCCGGGCCCAGGATACATATTTAGAAGCAAAGCAGATCCACCCTCCCAACTCTCCCTCCTTCCTTCTTGACTGCCTCCTTATTAATTTTTCCTAAATTATCACCATAGCATATTCATTCACTTCACAGTAGCAAGCTTAACTTTCCAGTACTTAAAGGTATCATGACATAGTAAGTAGAGAAAGGGAAAAAAAGGAAAAAAATAAAATTACATATAATAAAAGCGAACTAAAATGAAAAATGCATTCACACTTTTTAAAGTGATTAACAAGTTAGTGTTACATACAGGAGTTTCAGTAGCTTTACCTACCAATTAAGCAAACATTCGTATCAAAGACTGCTAGCCAAAATACTATAAAATAAAATCATAGGACTTTGTTGAAAAATTAGTATCTCATTATAAAGGATAAATTCAATGAAAAAAAATTTTTTACCCTCTTAGAAAAGAAAGTAACCATTGGCTAGCATAACCTGTATTTGACACAGGGTAAGTTTGTAAAAATAGATGGAAAACATGTTTAATGTTGAATAAATCCAAATCAGGACAAACGTGATAAATCAAACACAAATTTCTGCATTTAGCACTGAATATTCCTTGAAACCTTAAAATGCATTGATTTTTCTGCTCAGATGAATCTAATACTGGTATCATTTTTGTCTGTCAGACACGGGAATAGCAATGCTACATTATAACTTTTGTTAGTTGTGGCAATAATGGAATTAGGACTAGCTCGAGTTGCTGCATTTCTCACTTGGAGCTCAAATTTCTGTATTGCCACTTTGGTGAGACAGTTACCATTTACCTTTCTGCCAGTTTTCTCTCTCTCTTTTTTTTTTCTATTGAGAATTCTCCTAAAAATGACAGTAATAGTGAGTCACTATATTTAAAAAGTCTGTTCCATTTCTGTTCTCATTGCGCTAGAAAGAGTTTGCTCTATGTTTTAAAGTAGAAGCCCATGCTTGGCACTTAGTTATTCAAAGACTGTTGGCAAAGTCCCAAACTTTCTCATTTTACCTTTCTGTTAAAAAGACCAGGTTACTTTATTTACCTCTAAAAAAAAGTCTGCTCCCTGGCCAGTAAGATATTTAAGCTTGATTCCCAAATGCCCCGTTGGAAAACGGGTCATACACTAGAAACCTATTAGCAAAATAATTGTAAATCATGATTTCATCAATTAATTTTATACTTAATATTAATTTAGAAGAATAGTATTTGATAACTTAAAGCTATTTAGCTCATTATAAGAAATAGCAATTCTATTGGGTTAATTTTGATAACTGTTTACTAAGAAAAGTTTTTAAAAATATGATCTCAGAAATAGTAATTTTTAGTGACTTTGATAGCAAAATAAAAATAGTCAAAGAACTATAGCCTTACTTCTTTTCTTGTGCTTCTTAACAATATATACACTGCTTCATCATATAAATAAATCAAACAAATGTGTCAGAATCATATTCCATAGTAAATACAAGGTAAATTCCCAAAATACACAAGAGTTCCATTTGGCAATTCTGTCAGTGCTAAGTTAAAGAATATCAAAAGTAGCTCCATAAAAATATAGCCTTGCCTAGTAGCACCTATAAATATTAGTTACACATAATGATAGTATTCTTCAATTGAATTCTAAATGTTATACTGGATGGCTAATTTGAAGACTAACATGATTTTATCACTGTGAAGATGAGACTTGAAAACAATAGAATACATACATATTTCATTAAATATTTACATTTTGAGGTTCATCTTTCTAGTATTGGGCACAAGAGGCATCATTGATATTTGCTGTGTAAAAATGAGTATTTCTATCTACCAGTCTTCAGAATGTATGAATATATAAAGTCTCAAATGATAAAGGAGAATCAAAACTGCAAGTGAAATTAGAACTCTTACCTGATAACCAGCTTGTTTTATTTCAAGAATATCATCATGGATTCTTTGAGTTTGTCCAATATACTGATGTGAGTTCTTAAAAGTGGAAGAAGTGATTAAATGATGGCAGGGGAGAAAGGTCTTAACCTGATGGCATAAAAGGAATGAACCTAACAAAGCAGCCATCCTCTGGAAGCTGCAAAAGGCAAATGGATGTGTTCTCAACTAGAGCAAGAAAAAAGGAATGCTTACTGCCTGATATCTGCCAAAACCCAATAAGACCATTAAGGCATTTTTGACCTACAGAAATGTAAAAATAACATTTAGAATTAGGCTTATTTTGCCTTATTATTTAATTTAACTTATTTTATTTGAAAGGAAGATAGACACACAGCTGTCATTCACAATACATCTCACAGTGGTCCCAATGTCTGGGATGAGCAGGGTACACAAACTAGATTCCTTATGTGGCTGGCAAGAATCCAATTCCTTTGAGCCATTCCAAAATCTGTATTAGCAGGAATGTGGAATCAGAACTCAGAACTGGGTATCAAAAGTACTTCAGTGGGGACCAGCATGGTAGCCTAGTGGCTAAAGTCCTCACCTTGCACACACCAGGATTCCATAGGGGCACCGGTTCTAATCCCGGCGGACCCGTTTCCCATCCAGCTCCCTGCTTGTGGCCTGGAAAAGCAGTCAAGAACAGCTCAAAGCCTTGGGACCCTGCACCCACGTGGGACACCAGGAAGAAGCTCCTGGCTTCTAGCTTCAGATCAGCTCAGCTCTGGCCCTTGTGGCTACTTGGGGCGTAAATCAGTGGATAGAAGTTCTTCCTCTCTGTCTCTCATTCTCTCTGTATATCTGTATAATAACTAGGCTAAACATCTGTCCCAAGGTTATGCAGTTTTGAGTCACTGCATTGGTTACAACAATCACACTCACTAATGTACCAGAGAACCTTAAAGAATTTTTTAAGAATCTGTTTCATTGAAATTGCATTAACTTAAACATTTTTCTTAAAGTATTATTGTTTATTTGTTTATTTCCAGGAAGTGATCCATGAAATCCAGGAAGTGGAAAGAAATAAACAAGATTTTTCAAAATCACATGAAATCGATGTTCTTGAAACAGAAACGGTAACTATTTAAACACAGTACTCTCCAGACACATTGCAGATACCATTTCCAGATGTACTGCCCCTATTTTCATGTTAGGATTCTTTCACTTTTTGAATCTTTAATTCAATTTTAAATAAACTGTTTTTAAGTCTTATTATTATTGATCTGATTGGCAAAGATAGAAGAGAGATTTAGAGACAAAGATCTTCTGTATACTGATTCATTCCTATCCACAGTCTGGAGCAGGAACTTAACCCAGGTCTTCCACCAAGCACCTGCAGCATCATCTGCTGCCCATCTTAGCAGAGCAAGCATAAGACTTCAGACTTGAACCCAGACCTGGTGGTGTAGGTGAGGCTGATCCGAGTGGAGTCTTCAACACTTCACCAAAACCCACCACTCAAATTGGAATTCTTTTAAAAATCATGCAGGCACTCTAAAATTAGGATTGCACATTAAGTACCAATTCAATAATGTTCTGTTAAACTTGATTTGATTATTTCATGCATTGAAACAAAGCATAGAGTCTTAATTACCATGTCTCAGTGCACACCACAGTTTTACATGAAAATCAACTATAAAATAAATAATATTATTTGCAATTCTGAAATAAACAGTAAGTACTTTAAAAATTATTTTTAAACACAGGTCTCTCATCTTGAAAAACACACTGAGGAAATAAGCCAAGCTTCTCAATCGCATCAGTATGTTCAAGAAACGGGTAAGAGTCTGGTATCTTTCTCTCATTAGGGAACCTGAGCTTAAATAGATCGCTTCCAAAGCAGTTTTCGCAGTTGAGTCACCTCAGTACCTGTGATTCATGGGCTTAATGGGGAAGACTCAGTGTTTCTATGAATAATGAGATGATGCCTGTGGTAACAGACACAATGCTTTTCTGCAAGGTCTTTGCCAATCAACCCAATGGTATATTCGTAATAAGGCCTAAAATGTAATAAGCTAACCATTTTGAAATTCTTCTCTGCTTTAAGATCTACAATAAAACTTGATTTTTTAACAGCATCCCTCCCCCAACAGAATTGCCTATATTAAATTAATGTTTATAACACATTTTGGCACCATTTAGACTGATTCTTTAATAAACAGGTAATAGGTTAGATTTTAGTCAATTTTGTGCAGGTTTTTATGTGACAAGTCCCAATTTGTCTTGCTCTTTAGTAAATATAAAAGATTTTTTATTCTGAAGAACTAAAAGAGAGAATTTTAAGACAACTATGAAGAAAATAGTACTTGATAATATACTATTTTGGTCTTATTGCTTAAGAAAAGAGGTCTTCTGGTAGTTTTGTTTCTTTGTTTTATAAATACTATTATTTTTTCTTGAACATAGAATTAGAATATGCTTGTAGAAAAATTGAAAATAGCATCACCTACATATAGCCATAATTTTCCTTCCTATATTACTTGCTGTATTCTTGAGTTATTTAGTGAAATATATGGACTTGTATATTTCACATGTTGATTGCTTTTATTTAATCTCTGCTAGAGAAAGTTCCCAGAGCATTATGATTCTTCTCAAGCATCACTAGCACTATCCTGCTTGGTTTTCTTTTTTAATTGCAGTCATTGACACACCTGAAGATGAAGAGATCCCAAAGTTATCAACGAAGCTTCTAAAAGAGCAATTTGAAAAGTCAGTCCAGGAAAAAGCCCTTTATTCTGACAAGGGGACAGTACCCCCAGCTAAGCAGATTAAGGTAAGATAATCTCTTTCAACAGAACCATATTAAGCATAAAAGCATGTTTAAAGGAAAAATATTTTCAAATCATTGACTGTATGAGGTGGTTTTACAGGAAAAAATAGAAAGAAAAGGGAAAGAAATACTGAACCCGCATTTACTTCCTTAAGCAGGAGGTGGATGTACATGATAGAAGAAGCATAATTAGGATAAAAGCTTTTCTCATTATCGCAAACGTAGAACAATATATATACATATATATATATATATATGCCCTGAAGTCTAACAACTAGCATTAGAAAAGTAATTAAATCAATTTTAAATGTCAGATGCTTATTCTCTTCTGTTTAAAATGCCAGGGAAAACAGAATAACCCTCAAAAGTACTGAAGACTTTTTACTATTCCCCTCTAGATTCCTCTACATAGCATAGTAAGCAAAAGAGGGTAATCAAGAATATGTGTAGCTGTTTAAATGGTGAGATGTTGCTGCACTGAATGGGGATACATTTTTACAAGCAAGCACAGATTATGGGAAAATAATAACAAATATGGAGTATTCAGCCTGAGAAGTTCTTTTTAAGATTTTTAAAAATATGTATGTATGTGTGTATTTAAAGGCAGAGAAAGTAAGAGAGAAATCTTCTGTCTACTGATTCATTCCCTAAATACTTACAACAGCCAGTTAGAAAGGGAGAGAGAGAAAATGAATATATTCTGTTTGCTGATTTATTTTCTAAGTGCACAGAACAGCCTGGGTAAGGCCAGGAACTCCATCCATGTCTTCCACGTGTCAGGGTCCCATAGACATACACCATAATTTAGTCCCTCCCAGGTGCATTTGCAAGAGGGGGAAGTACAAAATAGCCCTGATCAGTAGGTCTGTGAAGCATGTGTATCATCTGTTTTTCCAAAGAGGAATGTTATAACAGGCTCCTGATTACAGAGAGGGAAGAACAATACCTTTAAAGCCACCATTACTATACTTGTCTTAGTAAGATTTGATTTTCTCTTCTCCAAAGATTGAATATGAATATGAAGAGACTTTAAGGCCAACTACAGATGTGGGTACCTCTTCTACCTCTTTCACTTCCAATAGCCAGAGGAAGGAAACATCAACCACAAGATACAGTGATCACAGTGTCACTTCCTCAGCTCGGGCACAAGTTAATGACACGCCTGTGAGACAGATGGAAGAATTTCCTCCTCCCCCACCTGATGTACTGCAAACTCCAATAGATGCAGCAGCATTTTCTCAGTCCCCTGAATTTCCCACCCCTCCCAAAAAACTGCCCATCCCCAAAGATTTATATTCCAAGCAAAGGAATTTGTATGAATTAAATCGTTTATACAAACACATCCACCCTGAGCTAAGGAAAAACTTAGAGAAAGATTATATCAGTGAGGTTTCTGAGATTGTTTCCAGTCAAATGAATTCAAAGAGCTCAGTTTCAGCAGATGTACAACAAGCCAGGTATGTTTTTGAAAATACAAATGACAGATCTCAAAAAGACCTGAGTTCAGAAAGAGAATACTTAGAGTGGGATCAAATTCTGAAAGGGGAAGTACAGTCCATGAGATGGATTTTTGAGAACCAACCTTTAGATTCCATCAACAGTGGGTCTCCAGATGAAGGTAACCTTGCTAAGGGCATTGCTGATCAAGAAATCATTGCTGGTGGTGATGTAAAGTATACCACATGGATGTTTGAAACACAACCTATTGATGCACTGGGAGATCATTCTTCTGGGACTGAAGAAACAGCTGAGAAAATTCCTGAACTAGCCAGAGGAGATGTCCGCACAGCCCGATGGATGTTTGAAACAAGGCCATTGGATTCGATGAATAGAATACGTCAAAGTCAAGAAGAAACTGTCAGTAAGGACATAAGCGGTGGGGATGTCAAGACTGTGAAATGCATGTTTGAAACTCAGCATCTGGATCAACTTGGAGAGCTTCATTCTGTGGATGAGGCTCATTTACTACAACTCAGATCCGAGCTCAAAGAAATAAAGAACAATGTTAAGAGAAGTATAAAATGTTTTGAAACACAGCCACTCTATGTTATCAGAGATGGTTTAGGTCAAATGCTAGAAATAAAAACTGTTCACAGAGAGGATGTTGAAAAGGGAGATGTGAGAACAGCACGCTGGATGTTTGAAACTCAGCCCTTGGACACAATTAATAAGGATATTACAGAAATAAAGGTTATCCGAGGAATATCCATGGAAGAAAATGTAAAAGGTGGGGTGAGCAGGGCAAAGTGGTTGTTTGAAACACAACCTTTGGAGAAAATCAAAGAATCTGAAGAGGTTATCACCAAAAAGGAAACAATATTAGGCACAGATGTCTCCAGAAAGTGTTGGATGTTTGAAACACAGCCATTAGACATTCTCAGAGAAGCTCCTGAATCAGAGCCTCTGCCACCTGAAGAGATAATAGGGGGTGATGTACAAACCACTAAGCGCCTCTTTGAAACACTTCCAATTGACGCCCTGAAAGAGAGTCCTGATGTTGGAAAGCTTCAAACAATCACTGCCGCTGAAGAAGAAAAGGGGGATGTTAGACATCAGAAATGGGTTTTTGAAACCCAACCTCTGGAAGAGATTAGAGAAGATAAAAAAGAATACACACGAACAGTGAAACTTGAGGAAGTTGACAAAGGAGATGTAAGGAATTACATACATGTTTTTGAATCAAATGATTTAATTAAATTTGATGCATCCCATAAAATAGAAGTGGAAGGGGTCACAAGAGGTGCTGTAGAGTTAAATAAATCCCTCTTTGAAACAACACCACTGTATGCCATTCAAGACCACCTTGGAAAATACCATCAAGTAAAAACAGTCCAGCAAGAAGAAATCATGAGAGGTGATGTAAGGAGCTGTAGGTGGCTTTTTGAAACAAGGCCCATTGACCAGTTTGATGAAAGCCTTCATAAATTTCAGATAATTAGAGGAATATCTGCTCAAGAAATACAGGCTGGGAATGTGAAATCTGCTAAATGGTTATTTGAAACTCAACCTCTTGATGCAATCAAATATTTCAGCAACGTGGAAGAAACAGAGAGTACAACCAAACAAGATGCAGATATCATTAAGGGAGATGTCAAAACTTCTAAATGGCTATTTGAAACCCAGCCAATGGACTCTCTTTATGAAAAAGTTTCATTGGTGACTGGCACTGAGGAAATTCATAAAGGAGATGTCAAAACCTGTACGTGGCTCTTTGAAACTCTGCCACTTGATAGCTTAAAGGATGACTCTGAAACAATAGTCAAATTGCAAACTGTAAAACAGGAGGAGATCCAAGGTGGAGATGTTCGTGCAACATGTTTTCTTTTTGAGACAGAAAATTTGGATAGCATACAAGGAGAAGAGAGGAAGGAAAGCAAGCCTGTGGAAATGGATATCCGAGCTGGGGATGTCTCAAGCATGAGGTATAAATTTGAAAATCAGTCCCTAGATTCCATAAGTTCTAGTTCAGAGGAAGTTTTGAAAAAGATGAAAACTCTAAAAACTGAAGATATTCAGAAAGGCAATGTTTTACATTGTAGGCGGCTTTTTGAGAACCAACCAATTGATATGATAAAAGAAAGTCAAGAAGGTGATGAATTAGTAAAGACAGTGACAGACATACAAGGTGGGGATGTAAGAAAGAGGTGCTTTATTTTTGAGACATTTTCTTTAGATGAGATTAAAGAAGAATCAGATCATATCAGCAGCAAGAAAACAATTACTGAAGAAGTCATAAAGGGTAATGTAAAAAGCTACAGAATGCTCTTTGAAACTCAGCCACTGTATGCAATTCAAGATCAAGAGGGGTGCTACCATGAAATCACAACAGTTAAAAAGGAAGAGGTAATTCACGGAGACGTTCGAGGAACAAGGTGGCTTTTTGAAACAAAACCATTAGACTCAATCAACAAATCAGAAACCATTTATGTTATTAAATCAGTGACACAAGAAGACATTCAGAGGGGAGACGTTAGTGCTGTCAGGTACAAATTTGAAACTCAGCCACTGGACCGGATTTCAGAAGGATCACAAAATGTTGTTCACTCTGTTGACTATATTCAAGGTGGTGATGTAAAGACAAGTAAACAATTATTTGAGTCTGAAGATTTTCATAAGAAGAATTATATAAGAACAGTAAGTGTCAATGAAATACAAAAAGGTAATGTTAAAACGTCGACTTGGTTATTTGAAACCCATGCTATAGATGAACTAAGAGGACAAGGATCAGAATACGAAAACATTAAGACAGTTACCCAAGAGGATGTGAAAAAAGGTGATGTTAGACAGGCAGTGTGGCTTTTTGAAAATCAAACTTTGGATTCCATTAAGGAAGCAGATGAAAGCATCACAAATATTACCAAAGAGGAAATACTTTCTTCAGATGTTAAGACAACAACATGGCTCTTTGAAACAACACCCATTCATGAATTTAATGACAGCAAAATAGAAAAGGTAGAGATTATCGGCAAGAGCATTAAGGAAACATTACAAGATCTTTACTCTCAAAAAGTTATTGAGTCTCCTGGGATTATTATCGAAGCTGATGAAGTTGGAGATGTGCGAATGGCAAAATACAAGCTAATGAACCAAGCATCACCTGAGATACAGAAAGAAGATGTTATCAAGGTTGATCTGAGAAGTATAATCATGACCTTACTTTCCAAAAGAGACTGCACAAGAAGAGAGATTTTGGTGAGTGAAGAAGAGAAGGGAAATGTCAATATGACTAAAACTCAACTATTAAACAGATCCACTGAATTTCATGCTGATAAAAAAGAGATAGTGAGAGGTGATATACAGCAAGCAATAAAAAATCTGTTTTCAGAAGAAAAATCTGTAAAGAAAGGCATTTTAATCCAGGAAGATGAAAGAGGAGATGTTAACATGACTATCTATTGTCTTCTTCATGAAAATGCTGGTGACAGGTTTGAGCGGGAAGAAGTCATAGGAGGTGATGTGAGACGCACTATTCATAATCTGCTGTCTTCCACATCACACAATAAAACACCTGAAAGGGTTAAAATTGATGCCTCTGAGAGAGGAAATGTGCAGTTTTTCACAACATGCATAGAGACAGGAGCTTTGGATTATCTCAGACAACTACAGACAGGGTCAACTGAAACTCTAACACCCAGCAAACAAGAAGGAAAAGAAGAAATAATTGGAGGTGATGTTGAGGGCACAAAACTGTTACTAAAGAAAAGGCAGTCTCAGGTTGACCGTACTGTCAATGCAACTGACATCATCCCAGGAGATGTGCATAAAACAGCTGAGATTTTTATGGCAGAGCCTCAGAGTACATCTTGTAAGTCAACCACAGAAGAAACTATAAAAGGTGATTTAAAATCAACCCTACATTCCCTTACCCAGGCTATAAATCAGAAAACAGTGGCTGAAGAAGAAGAAATGACCAAAGGTCACACGTTTGCCACACTCAACTCACTTAAAACATCAAGCCATCAGTGGAAAGAATCTAAACAGCCAGACATCACTCCTGACAATATTGAACAAGCTATTGAATGTCTTGAAAGAGCTACAAACACAAGGACAGAAATCATGAAAAAAGAGCTTCTCAGAGAAGACCTTGAAACATCATTAAGGTATTTGAAAGAAGCAGAAAGAGGTTTCAAAGAGGTGAATAAAGAAGGTGTAAACAAAGAAGTCCATGCAGTGACAGTAGGATCCTCAGGAGAACAGAAGACAAAGCATCATCAGGCAACCATCCAGAGGGACCAGAAAAGTATTCTCCAGCCCAGGCCAGGACCATTGGAGCCGGCAGCCAGGTCAGAAGGAGGAGCAGACACTCTCAGTCAAACTGAAAAAAGAAACAAGGTCAATCCGTCCAAAGTTCCCAAAGGCACCGTAAAGATTGTTGTAGATCGTGAACAAAACAATGATGCCCTGGAGAAAAGCCTTAGAAGAATATCTAATTCCAACCACAAAGCTACTGAGAATGTGTTACAATCAGGACACCAAACAGATGTCTGGTCCATAACAGAGCAACACCTTACAGAAGGACATATGAATAGACAATTAACTTCAACTTCAACAACTTCGGTAAATCAAAATGAAAAAAATAAGAATTCAGAGAGACTGAAGGAACTGAAAGAGGACATTATCTTCGGCTCCACTCAGTCTTTTGACAAAACAACTGGAGAGCATCGTACTCAAACCTGTGGACTGAGGAATGACCACAAGAAGTCTGAGGCTCTCCATGCAAAGAGTGATGAAAAGGACAAAACCACTGAATTGCTAACAAGTACGCAAATTTTGAAGTCCAGTTCCACTCAGGACCATCCAGGAGGCATGTTAGCTGGAGAAACTTACAAATTAACAGGAGACTTTCAGAAGCAAACTTTTAAAAAGCAAGAAATGCAAAATCCTCATAGGTATCTAAAGAAAAATGACATGAGCCTTCAACCTTTGTCAGCAGATCAAGACATGTCCAATGTAACTGAAATGAAAGTCTCTGAAAAGAGCCACAATAAATTCAAAGCCAATGACAAAAAGCAGAAGACTGATGTTAATCTGAAAAACCAGGACTTCCTAATGAAGACAAATACTTCTGCAGAGTTAAAAATGGCAATGCAAATGTCCTTTAATCCAAACAACTTTAACACTGAGAATGATGGGAAAGAAACTGAGTCTTCTCTTCCACCTCCATCTCCACCTCCTCCTCCACCTTCCAATGCATCATCTGAAATTGAATTTCCTCTTCCCCCTCCACCTCCTTTAATGATCTTGCCTGAGAAAAATGTGTTTCCTCCATCACCAGAAAAAACAAAGTCTGGATTTGAAAACTTCCCAGGCTTCCCTCTTCCTCCACCACCAGTAGAGGCGAAACCTAAAGAAGAATCTCTATCAATGTTCCCACCACCTCCCCCTCCTCCAACATCATCTCAGAAGTCAGTACAGCCCACCAACTGTATTCCAGAAAAGCACGATGAAACTTTCATACACCAAGAAGCATCAAGCTCTCAACAAACTCACTCTCAGTCAAAAATCACAACAGCAAAATCAAAAGCACGTATTCCACCTCCCACATTACCCAAGCCCAAATTTTTCAAGCGAATAGATGATAAGAACTATCTTCCCCAAAACGTTGATTTGCAAAATTCCCTATCAGATATGGAATTTAACACTGCTTCCAGAAAGGATCAGGAAAAAGTCATGATGGTGACCAGCACTGACTGCACAGAGATGAAGCAGGACATATTCAGTGAAAGTCTTGATGAAAGAAAACAATTGTCAATCAACTCTGTCAAGTCTGTCTCTCAGATAGTGCCAGAAACTTCGGCACCCAAAGAAAAAGAGATAGCACCTCTCAGAAATTCCCATTCATTTCCAGCATGTTCAGTACAACAAAATCCAAAACCTTACATGAGAAAATTTAAGACACCTCTAATGATTGCTGAAGAAAAGTATAGACAACAAAGAGAAAGACTTGAGAAAGAGAAGCAGGAGAGTTTTTGCTATAGTGTAGTCAAAAGAGAAAGCCAAAGTCAAAATTTATCAGAGATTGAAAAAGAAATGTCATTACAAAAACCAAATGAGGAGGTTCCCCTTTCTGGAATGTATTCAGAGTCCCTTGTGCCCCAGCCAAGCCCTGATTCTCAAAGTAATGCTCAAGTACTTGAGGTTAATTCTGATAAACAGTTCACAACATCATCAGTGGCAGTAGCCAAGAAGCTCCAACCTGTTCTAGCATCCTCAGAAACCAAATATAACATGAAGAAGGAAATTTTACAGACCTCTGGGGACATAGTACAATCTAAAACAACCTGTGACACTAAACAGAGTCAGCAAGAATGCAGTACACAACAAATACAACAGAAGTATCCAGAGCATTTGCACTTGCTCCAGATCAAACCAGTTTCCCCAAGTTTCAAAGTTAAAACAATCAAGCCCCCCAGCGTTGATCATACATTAAATGAAACTGACCTCCACTATGAAAGTAACAAAAAGCAATCACACGTTGATGTTCAAACCATTTCCGAACAGCAGTATCAAGAAACCAACAAAATGAAAACAAGTACCAAATATAGTAATAATCAATCTATGGCTGAAAAGCATCATCGATTACCTAAGAAAGATAAAAAGGTGACGCAACAAGTGCCTACTAACACTGCACAGGAGGGCCTTGAAAGCAAACTCAAGGTGGTTCCTGAGAAGCAAAGAGAATTAAGGGAATCTGAGGAAGGGAAACGTATGGAAAGTGAAAGGAAAGCTCAGGGCCCCTCAATGATTGGCCCAAAAGAAGAAAATCTAATAGTTGAAAGACGACAAGGGCATGCGAAGAATGGGTTGACACGAAAAGTGATCAAGCAGGTTGCTGAAGCCCATTTTGATTCACAGACTCAGAATGTTCGGCAAACAGAGATACAGGCTTCTGAAAGTCAAGTTGAGCATAAAGCGTTGTCCCAGTCATGTAGTAATCAACAGAGAAAAACCTGCCTTGGAGTCAAAGGCATTCAACAGAAACAAGTCTTCCCTAACACTGAAGATTCAAAGCATGAGATGACAGAGAACACATCTTTATTTTCCTCTGTGAAAGAATTCCAGCAGGATGATGGAAAGCATGCTGTAAATATATTGGAATTCTTGAGAAAACGTGAAGAGCTACAGCAGATTTTGTCTAGAGTGAAAGAGTTTGAAGCTGAGCCAAATAAAAATGACCTGAAAACATTTCAGACACTGTGGAATATTGTTCCAGTATGGCTGATAAGTGAAGAAAAGAGAAAACATGGATCTTGCATGGCAATGGAGAATACAGAAAAAATCAGGGAAGAAATAACATACATTAGGACTTTAGCAGAGGATATGCTTGTGTCCTGTGAGAATATAATTCAAACAGCCATGATATCCTCTAAAATAGGGAGACCCGGTAATAAGCTTCCTAGTCTTGATGAAGCAGCATCCAAAGTGTCTAATGTTAATGTTAGCTATGATAAAAACATGGAGCAGAAGGAAAATAAAATTGTAGAAGAAACAGCACACCATGAAGTAACAACTCATCATGAAGCACTTGCTCAAAATCATGTGAAAACACATCAGGAAATTAAATTGGATGATAGTAAGATGTCTCCTCCCTCTTTAAAAACACGCTCACCCTCACCTACTTTTATAACAATTGAGTCTACTGCCCGAAGGAATGTCCCTTCTACTAAAGATGAGCTTTCTCAGTCCCCTAAAAAGGACAGTTGTGTTGAACCCCCACCAAGAAAGCCTATGTCACAAACAGGCAGAACTCCCAGAACAGACACATCCCCTTCTCCACCCAGGAGTCGCTCAGAACAACTTGTCAAACTCAAAGACACCACTGCAAAGTTATCCAAAGGGACTATCCCATGTCCATCAGTAAGCCCAGTCCCAATCGTGGAGAAGAGATCTGAGATCATCATGTCTCCTGCCACACTCCGTCGCCAAATTAAGATAGACACGCGTGGCAGAGACTCTCCACCTACAATCACCATCCCTGTGAATGTGAATCATGTCACTAATGGTTCCTTCAAAGAATCCATGGAAGCTCAAGAGGAAGTTCGAAAAGTAGAGAAAAGAGCAACTTATGTTCACCAAGATGGATTAAATTCTGCTAACTGCATGGTGCCAGAAACTGAAAGTTATGACGCAGTGGAAATAATCCGCAAGGTCGGAGCGCCTCGCGTGCCAGAGCACAGGCAGAGATATGAAGCAGCCAACCGATCTGCTCAGATGGCTGGAGATTTCGTGAGTGATCACGAAAATGAAATAAACAGATGGTTCAGGGAATTTGAGAATGGCCCAGTTTTTGAATCAAAGTCAAATAGAAGAGTTTATGCAAATGGAGAAGCAAGCCATAATATAAAACAAGAAAGTCGAGCATTTTGTAAAGAGGAATTTGGATTAACATCTTTAGGGAACACTGAATTTACAGGCTTCTCTTGTAAATATCCCAGAAAGCTGCAAGAAAAAAATCCTGTTATACAGCCCAGGGTGCGCTCTGAAACAAGGTCTCTCAGTGAGCATTTCTCAGGCCTAGATTCATATGAGAGTCACTCCGTTGGGTCAAAGACAACAACATCAACAACCCATAGCTCAGAAGCTAGCAGATCTGGCTTTGACTTCAAACATGCCCCACCAACGTACGAAGATGTCATCGCTGGACATATTTTAGATATCTCTGATTCATCTAATGAACTCAGAAGGAATTTTCAAAAGACGTGGCAGGAGAGTGAGAGAGTTTTTGAGAGCCTGGGATGTACAACCTCAGATTCTTCTGCCTCTGAGATGAGAACCACCTTCCAGGAGGAATCTGCATTTTTAAGTGGTAAATGAGCTTGAAGTGTGAAAGAAGGTTGCTCCATTTACAAACATGTGTTCCATGCCCAAAATGATTTGCAGTTTTAAAAGTGTGTGGAAATAATCAAACAACATAAGCTGGAACTAACAGTTTCCCCTGTATGATTACTATGCTTGTTTTGCTGCTTTCTCTTTATCAAAGCATCTAATATGATTCCCCAGCCACTGTATGAGAGTAACTAACCATATTATATACATTACTGTGACCTGTATTTGTCAAGATAAATATCCCTTGATACAGCATCAGATGTAATAATAATTGCAACTTAATGTGTTAATAAGTACACATTAATATCTGTAAAAATTACTAGTATTTCTTATGAAAAGATATTTAATTCAATTCTTGCATGATGCCACATAGCATACCTTAACTTAATATTGGCATATTTTTAACTGCCACACTTGAATGGTCTTTGCATGAAATTCAGCGCAGCTGGGTAGTAAAAATAGTCCAAGAAAGAATTTATGATTTTCATGTGTGTTTTAAGGGATGTTTTTAGATCTATATCTCTAACAAGGGTTGTGAGTGTAGAACTAGACTTTATATATGTTTAATTATTGCTATGGAGCTTAAAATACTTCACTTTCTCTGATGCCATATTTTTTTTTTAAGATTTATTTATTTATTACAAAGATATACAGAGAGGAGGAGAGACAGAGAGAAAGATCTTCCATCTGATGATTCACTCCCAAAGTGAGTGCAACGGACAATGCTATGCCAATCCAAAGCCAGGATCCAGGAATTTCTTCCAGATATCCCACACAGGTGCAGGGTCCCAAGACTTTGGGCCGTCCTAGACTGCTTTCCCAGGCCACAAGCAGGGAACTGGATGGGAAGTGGGGCTGCTGGGATTAGAACCGGCACCCATATGGGATCCCGGCACGTGCAAGGCAAGGACTTTAGCCGCTAGGCCATGCCGCCGGGCCAGCCACATTTTTTCTTATGACTGAAATTTTTCATCTTTTTAAAAATAACCTTCAAGTGACAGCTCAGCGTGACCCTTTCTGCAGATGAACATGGACAATATATTTTAAAACTTTGATTCTATACACATTGAGGGAGTTGAAATCATTTGAATTTAGCACATTTCATTTTTTCTTTTTAACATCAGGAGCCAGATTATTTCTTTATATTTTGTCTGCTTTTACAACAACGTGGCTTTTGTTAAAAGGATTTGACATAATAATGTGCATCATTAGTGTTGCCCATTCATTTATACAGATTGAAAGAAATACCGAGTTTACAAATAAAACTGCTAAAATTAATACTTATCCTGCTATCATATTTGCAACATATGTGTCTAGTTTATCAGGTTAATGTGGATTCATAATGTGCTAGCTTCTGGCATCATTAAGCAAAGTTGTCTCTTTTTTTTTTTTTGAAATGCACAGTTTCTAGTAAGATAGCTCAAACAGCATAGGAAATATGAAAAAATTGGTGTTAACTTTAGGAATGTATCACCAGTTATGGCATCTCAAGCAAGTGATTTCTACCCATAAAACACACTGAACATCTAGGCCTTGACAACATTTCTGTGTATTAGAATAATAATAATTTAAAAAAACTACATTTGCTCTTATACTTGCATATAACTCATGTGAAAGCTGAGTTATTTTCACAATATTATTGTGAGAATCATAAACAGTAGAAAAGTTCATATGCTAAACAATAGACCATTCTGCGGCAGTTTGTAAGTGTTGTAAAAGCACTGGTTGTTATTATACCACTACTATCATACAGCCAACAGCAGCAATGAAAATAGAAGGCCAGACCTGCCGGCACCACAGTACAAGAGAAGAGTAAGAAAACAAGAAAAGAGAAAAAAACAATCATGAGAATCTAAGCTGCACTAAAACCTAAAGTTACTGAAGATGAGAACAGATAGCCCTAAGCATTTCTCATTATATGACAGCTAAGAGTTGACTGTGTAAAAAGAACTCTAAACTAGCAAGAAAAAGTTAACCGTATACAATGTCATTGGCCAAAAAGTGATATGTAAATATTTTAGAAAGATCTGTACAGAATGTTTTAAAAATATAATTGTGAACTAAGTTAATTATACCCCTTTATGTATATTGAAAAGTTCAGGTATCTAGAGAACAGTTCTGTCAGAGCTCCCCTTAACTCAGTTATATTACCTATATCTACATAACATTAGTGAACTTATCTTACTCATATATGTTTCCTAAAATAACAGAATTCAACTTGCATAGTATGTAAATAGAAGGATTAGAATAGTGATGACTAACAGGACAGACAGAAGCCTGGTAGTGGATAAGTCCATGTCCAAAGGAAAGTGTTGGAAGCTTTCTACTTAACTGCATGGCTAGTTGACATGTCATTGTTTGTTACCATTGTGCTGTCAGAAAACTATTAAAGATAATACTACATGAGTTTTTGTATGTTTGATTTGTAGAAACTGCTACTTCAAGACAAGGAAATTTGTATTCTTTGTCAAAAGATAGTTTATCCCATGGAGTGCTTGGTAGCAGATCAACAGAATTTTCATAAGTCCTGCTTCCGATGCCACCATTGCAACAACAAACTGAGGTATGCCTTTTGGTATCTGACATAAATATACAGAGTGTCTGGATAACATGTCTCTGGGGAGTCAGGGCTGCCATTGGTTAACACCACTGCACAAGGGGATGAACTCATGATAATAATGTGAATAAGAAAAACAAGACCTATTGTATAAGTTATGATTTTCAAGCTAGCACTTTAATCAGAAATCTAAGCTCTAAGTCAGGATTTTCCAAACTTTCCCAGTTAAGGTCCCCATGGAAATCCTTTGTCAATTCCACATCCATACTGGGTCTATTGGTCTTCAATTTCCACTAGGTTGCAGGAAAACATAGAAGTAACTAGTCAAGTGAGTGTAACTGAAACTAGATAGAACTGTTTGTGTTCCAAAAAAACTTTATATAACAATATATGTGTTAGATGAAGATTAGACTGTATAGGCAAACAAGCAAACAAAACCATCTTAAGCTATTATCAGTGACATGACAGAGAAAAGCACTCTGAATTCTCTAGCAATTGAAGCACCCTACTAAGTGCTACAAATGTATTCATTTCCTTAAACTTACTTATTTAAATGAATCTGACATTTTTATAACTAGTCCAAGATACTGATATAGCTGTATTTATTGATACTGAACAGCTGTATTTATTTCTTGAGATTTATAAAATGTTAATAGTTTAAAGTTGATTTTTCCAGCTTTTAGAACATTGTTAAGGATATGTGTTTCTCATCTACTATACCATTACACAGTAGTACAGTTGACTAAACAAAGACAGAACAATTATTTATCAATTTGCTTACACATTGGTTATTAATAATAATATGATGGAACTGTTTATTTTATTTCATTTATGTAAATTTTAAAAAATTATAATTTTATAGACTTGGGTTTGAGCATATTTTATTCGTTTCAACCAAGCAATTATAATCATTATTCAATCCCAAATTGCCCTCTTCCTGGCCCATGAATACCTCTTTGTCTCCTGAGTCATTTCATCAGGATGGTAGGAATCATTGAGAGCTTCCTCAGTATTTGATAAAATCAGATGTTCCAGGCTGTTGTGCCCCAGAACTGAAATCAATCTTTTCTTCAAAATCTGGTTTCTTTCCATAAGAAAGGTGTTTCGAGATGGCAATCTTGATGCTGATTCTACTGGGTTAACCATTGTTTCTAATTATTTTAAGTAGGAAAAAATTCCAAATATTTACATACAAAAATACGTTATAAATTCATAGCTATCTTTCTAAATTAACATCAGAACTGTATTTGTTCTCCCTTGCTTGCTCTTTACTATGCTTTTATCCCCTTTCTCCAAAAAATTTTAAGACTCATAGTTCTCAAAGACAAATAAGGTAACATAATTGCGATATCCCATATTCAGTTACATAACAGTCTTGGAATAACAAAACTATTAGCAATACTAACATATCAAAACACTATAAGATTATTTTTTCCTTCTCATTCACCTGTCCTCCCCACCCTCCTATTTTTAAAATTGTTGTACTATCTATGGATGGGTGGGTAGGTAGGTAGATAGATACATAGGTAGATGAATAGATAAATAATCTATACTGTCAAATCATATAGTCATAGCATACTATATGAGTTTCCAGAGTGCCCTTGTTGCTGAACAACAACACCCTAACCTAGAACCCTCAAACTGGGTCCTCTCACACTCTATACTGTCGCACAAAAAGCCAGTCACTGACATCAGAGTGGTGGAAGAAAGTGGATCTTTATTGTGATGTGCAGAGTAAGGAGCCGGGCGGCTATTGCTTAATTCCCAGTCTCCCCAAGTAGTTAGGAGTGAAGCTTCTTATAGCCAGAAAATTGGGTCTGAGAGGTGCAAGGTTCATGATCGGTCAGTCATCTATGATCATTGGGAATTTACATTTTGCTGTGCTGCAGCCTCTGCTGGAAGGGAGGATGAGAGAAGGGATGATATTTGAATGTAATTACAGGGTTTCCTTCCAGACATTACTGGTCACTTAAGTCCCTATGTATTAGAGAAGCACATGACTCTTAGGGAACCACCTGCTTAAGTAAGTGAATTCCTTTTAATAAGAGACTGGCAAGGATACCTTGTGCTAAGGGAGATGGCAAGGACATCGGCGCTAGGTGAAGGGGCATGATGGATGATACTTTTATAAATGTATAGGGGTTCAGTTTCACCCTCATTTACTCTTAGATTACAAGCAGTAAGCTGTATTTCCATCACCAATCCCGACTTTGTTTCTTTAGTTATTCTGATTACTAAAATTCTTTTTTTCAATAGATTAGTCAGAAAAAAATTATTGAAGCAATCTTATTGAGTTGCAACATCCTGCTCAATTTGTGACCTGTATAGTGGGAATATGGTTTGTCTGTGATTAAAATCTTTGACTTAATTTTTCTTTCTCAGAGTACTAGAAATATGCATAACTTCGTTTTTTTTCTGACATAAAGCATTAAGCTAACTGAATTTTCTTTTTACTATAGACAGTTTTAAAATTAAAATATTCTTTGATGTTATTACTGTATTTTTATTTTGAATTCATTTTTTTGGCATTGATTGTTCTTATGTTAATATTATCAATGACCAGTGTGTCTTCCCATTTTGTCATATACTTTTATAATTCATGGCAGTATCTGTTAAGCATAAATTTTAATATTTAATCTGTTTCATTTCTTACATTTCTCATTGAGGAACTTGCATGGATTGAAATTTTTTTTCCTTCTTGAATGATCATTTGTGTATATCTTTTCTCTGATTATTTATACCTTTAATTATGTTTTACTGATTGAAATTTTATTTCATATTCTTTTTCATGCACTTAAGACATTTTCAATTGTTTGCCCTTGTGCATATTTTAGTTTATATTGCATTGCTAAGAAGAGTTTATATTATTTGTATTTCTTTTCCTTGGTTTTTGGCACCTCATTCATAAGTTATTCTAGTTCTTATTTCTATTATTCTTTCAGATATTTTGTCATACTTTAGTGTCTTTAATATCATTTTGAAACAATTGATTAAATTTGGACCTATTTGAAAAAAAATTTGGACCTATTTGGACCTATTTATAAGATGTGCTTTTTATTTTTTGTAAAATGTTCATCAGAGAAACAAAGTACTGCAAATCTGTCATTTCCTTATAACTTTATGTAGCATTTTACCTTTACATATATGTTTCTCATTTGTGTAAGAACTATGTTTTCCAAACTTCATTTGGAAATGAAATTCAGGATGATTTTTCTAACTTAAATTTTTCTAGTTTTCATATGGATTTTAAAGTATAAAACCCCTAGACTTTGAGGATTTCTTGGTTTCTCTCCATCTGTGTTGGAGCATTTCTGTTTTTGTTTTTTCACATCTGTTGTCTTTGTCCTGCTTAATTTTGATCCTGCTTCTACATTATATTTTTTTTCTCTATTTCTGGTTCTTTTCTGAAAGATTACCCCAGAGGATCAAGTTTGAAAATTCTCTTCCATCTCTCTTACAACAGACCCTTGCCATTCATTGGCCAACAGGACAAAATCTCTTTCAGTTTTAGATAGTATTCTCTGACTGGCATGCAATTCAGTCAAAGAATTTGTTACCTCCCCACCCCCATGGAGGAGGGGGAGGAATTTTGTATTATTTTGTTTTCCTAATATTTTCCTGATCCATTGGCACCTTCCTTACTCCCTTTGATATTATCCATATTAAAGCAAGCTGTCATGCTGGTCTTACTCCTACTGGTTATTATGCTTTCCCCCCTTTGTGTTTGGCATTGTTGACTAACTTCTCATTTAGTTTGCTTATGAATGCGACTCAAGGACTTCCAATTTTAACAGGTAGTTGAGGTGCTTGCTTTGATGTGGAGATTCAGGGAAACTCAACATTATATTGCTAAATCTAATGAAATAAGATTTTCATTTTAACAGATACTCTTGTTTGATGATCTCACTAAAGTGGCCCAACAAGCAGGTGCATAGGCAACCTATCTGTTCATTTAAAATCCTGTTGTAAAAGAAAGTTAAGTAGTTTATTAGTATGTATACACTGTTGAGAACTTATTGAAGTTATGACTGCTCTTGTAAACCATTGACTTATCTTATCCTTCTACACTATGAATAAGCCTATGTGCATTATCTGTTTTACCAGCAACTGATATACATTATGAAGTTCTAAAAGCTATAAGACATGCATGGGCCATTGGTGGCAATATAATGTAACATGAATATTTAATAAAAATCACATCTATTGCAAATTAGATAATTTTACTAGGTCTCTGATTCATTATAGAAATAATTTCCTAATTCCCTGTTTACAGTAAGTTTACATAATGCTAAGTGCTAAGGGTTTTTTTGTTTCTTTTTTGGCAGTTTGGGAAATTACGCATCACTTCATGGACAAATATATTGTAAACCTCACTTTAAACAACTTTTCAAATCTAAAGGAAATTATGATGAAGGTTTTGGACACAAACAGCATAAAGATCGATGGAATTACAAACATCCAAGCAGCTCAGGGGATTTTATTCCCAAAAAAGAACAGAATATTTGCAAAGACACTATAGAAAATACCTTTGCACTTGGAAATCTTAATCAACATTCAGATGCTAAAAACAGGGAAGAGCAAAGGGGTAATCTGATAAAATTAGGGGAGAGGGGAAAATTAAAAGTCATCTGGCCTCCCTCCACGGAGATGCCTAAGAAAACCTTCCTCCTTGAAGAAGACCTCCAAGTGAATAAACCTAAATGGCCCCCCGAAGTGACAATCCCTGCTCCCCCTGAATGTAAGAGTGAAGCACATACAGAACAGATGAGCCCTCTAGGAAAAAAAGAACAAGGACATGATGTGCTCTCTTTTCAGTACCCACGTCAGCTGTCTACCCATACCTGTCAGAAAGAAGAGGTTCCAGGAATCAAAGAAGTGAAAATGTACGAAGGAAGTCAGAACGTGCAAGACAAGCTGAATGAGGCTGAAGATACAAAGAATAAAAGGAAAAGTGAAATGGAGCTTAATGGCAACGCGGATGTGACTGTGCAGAGTGCTGAAAAGGAGAAAAATGAAAAACTTAATGAAGCTAATGGGACAGAAGTTTTACAGGTTACTAACGCTAATGATGAAGTGGTGCAGGAGAACTGTAAAGAGAATTTGAATAAGAATAATAATAATAACAATTATGTAACAGTGTCAGGCTTGAGTAATTGCAGGCAGAACACATCTACTTTAGAATTTCCTCATTTATTACCACTGTCAGGCAAAGCAAACTACACTGCAAATGAATATCAAATTGAAAAGTTCACAAATGCCTCTAGAATTTCCCAGTTACTTGGTGTATTTGAATCTGAACAGATTTATTCAAGGAATGCACTGGCTCTGGCTCTTAAAAGACAGACTGACAAAGCTACTGCTGGCAGTCCTCTGCAGTCTACTGTAAATCCAGGCACCAAGAGGGGCCTGGTAGTAAAGCAGAAAAGTTCAATGGTCTCTTCTGATACAAATCTCTTAAATTTCAAAGGAAATCACTCTAGTCACAAAAATCTAAACTTTTTCTTTCCTAATTCTATGAAAATCACTGCGTTTTCCAAGAAAAATGAGCATCATTTTGATTGTGACATATTAGATTCTGCAGATCACATTGAAAATGTGCCATGTTTATACGTAAGAAAGTTTGGAAAAGATGTCGAGCAATGGCACAGTGAGCCTGTGGGAGAAGTTCACAATAACGGAAGCACAAGTTCAGGCGCTCTGAGCTCTGAGTGCACAGCCACACCTTCCTCCCCCACAGTGGAGGTCCAGATGGAACACCTCACTGTGGAAGAGCAGATTAAAAGGAACAGGTGCTACAGTGACACAGAGTAAAACGTCTCTGGTGACTTCACTTTGCACTCAGTCACTGAGAAACATGGGTTCCTGAAGTAGGATTTCAGGGACGTTCAGGGATACTACCTTGACTGGCGTATATTGTTAACATGATGTTCAGAAATCTCTTGTCTATCTGGAGATAGGATTTCTATTACACTTTCTATTTTTTCATAATTCCTCTGAATACACTTTTGTTCTGAATGGAATGCAAAGTTGAACACAAAACATGGCAATGTTACAGTGTCATGAGACACTATGTCTATCACTTGTTACATCTTAAATTTGCTGAAATAAAATCAAACCCTTTGAGGTAAAAATTAAAATTGTTCTGTAGCTTTATTTCCCCCCAACTATATATCAGCCTCCCACATTATATGCTCCACGATTTAGAAGGTATTTGTCTTATTCTGAATTGAGCAAACTGATCCCCAAAATGAGTTGGAGGCAGGAGTCTTTATTCGCTTGGCCAGTGCTGACCCACGAATTGTCCCACACCAATTCCCACTGCAAGTGGAAGAGGGGAGCAATTCCTATCAGCTATGTTCAGAGGTTTTTAAGCAGTGATCATCCAATCAATTAGGAGAGTGCTGGAAAATTATAGAAATCATTCAGTCAACCAAGCTCATATCAGTGCACAACACAAATTATCCTAGTCATCTGCAGTGGCATAAAACACAGACACCTAATGAGTTTAAGCATCGTACACTATGAACCATCTCATCAGTAAGAGCTCCATCCTGTCTAGTAGCTGAACCAGGCAAACAGGTCCTTCCAATTCCATGTACAGAAACCAATTTAGGGCAATCAGCTTACTGCATAACTTTAAAAGAAAAGCAAGATCTCATCCTGGAATGAAATATTTTCTAGTGATAAGTATTTTCACTCCCCTTTCGAGACATTGTAAGAACCAGAGGTTAAGGGCACATCCAACAAGATCTTATTGTCACCAGTTTTTTTATTGTATGCACTGCATCGGGTTTGGAGCAGGTATTTAATGCACATAAATACACATAATCTTGGAAAAAATATTAAATAGAAACTACACTAACATTGAAAAATACAAAATTTTCATTCTTTTTTGGCTTTCTTATTTTAAAGAAATAAGTTATTACATGCTGGGGTCCATGCAGTGGATGTGGGGACACAAAGGTGTGAAGAGAACTGTTGCATTGCAGGCAGGGTCACAAGGAATTTCCTGCTGTCTGGCAGGGCCCTGCAGATGCCTCTACAACCACCTGAATGCAGCTCCGCCTCCCTTTGAATGGACACCGGACAACCCTGCTGAGATTTCCATAATTTATTTAGGCATTGTCTGCCTCGGCAGAGTTAATGTTTAGTATCAATGTGAGGTTGGAAGTTAATGTTGCTGATACCCTTTTAGCTAAAAGGCCTTTCATTATTGCTGTCTGGGTGGCTGCCCCATTGACCATATGCTGATCAAGGGTGTTAAGTCCCCCTATGATCCTATGTTAATCAAAGATATAGCAGAAACCTACCCTTAGGATTCTCCTTCCCCATTGACCATATGCTAATCAAGGGTGTTCTGTTCCCAGGTGTAGTGGGAATCTATTCTTTCCCTCTTTCTTTGATCTTTAGGTCCTTCCTTCTGTGATGCCTTCCCTCCCTTAACTGATTTAAGACTAAGTTGTAGAATGAAGATTGTAGTAGGAATGTGATCTTCCATATGAGTGCAGGGTTCCAAGACTTAGAGCTGTCTCTTCTGCTTTTCCTAGGACATAAGCAGAGAGCTGGATGGAAAGTGGAACAGCTGGTACCCAAATAGGATCCCAGAACTTGCAAGTGAGGATTTAGCCTCTAAACCATCAATCCAGGCCCTAGGCACACCTTTTGATGGCCTTTTTTGTTCTGAGCAAGTCACACAGAATTGGAATTCCAGCCTGTTATTACAACTGCTATTCTAGTTTTCACTCTGTCAAAACTGTGCTTAAAACATAGTACTTCCATCATTTTCTCAGTTATTTCCTCTCTTGGTGTCCCTTCCTGTCACTATGGCAGCAGATCCCTCCCTTAAATAAATCTTGCTTTCAGACTGAAACTGTGCATATGAAAATTCTTTCATGTGAGATAAAAATCCTGGTTGCTATCATCTTTCTTTGAATTTCCCGTAACGCTTGTGCCCCTCCATGCACTCATGCCCCGGATATCTCTTCTGTTCTTCTAAGGACACCAGTCCTTTTGGATTAGACAACACCCATACAGTATCATTTAACTTCTTAAAAGGCCTTATTATTAAATGCAATCATACTGGGAATTTGGACTTCAAATATGAGTTTTTGGAGACACAATTCACTTCATAATGCACATATTTCATCCAGTTTAATTGGAAAAAATGTAAATTTACCAACAAAATGACAACCAATAGGGCTGTACATCAGCATTTTTTGTTGAAATAGTTACTATATTTTCATTATTTTTATGTAGTCTTAATGATACAGCATTATTGCTATTATTGTTCTTAAAATAACAGTTTTTATAAAATAAGAAATAATTTATGAAAATTCATGACATAATATCCTAACTTACAGCTTTTTAACATCAGTGATTCTTTAACAAAAGTGATTTTTTACAAAAATCCTTTCTTGGGTCTCTCCCCACTTAATCTTATATCCCAATCATCTAGCAAATTACCCTAATATTTAAGATTAAAATAAGCATCCAAATAAAAACATGTTATGAGACATTGTAGGTTAAGATTTCAACATATGCATTTAAGAGACACAATTCATGCTACAATAGACAGTAACTACACTTAATTGTTCATTTGATATAAATACATGGCTATTACTATTATTAAAATGTTTCTAAGTAGTTTTTCACCTGGTATTTACACCATAAAACTACGTGGTGTTTAGATTTATGCTGTTGAAGTTAGATTTCCGAGAACAAAAGTGTTTTACAAAGGAATAAAGATGGGTCTCTGGATATGTAAACACTGCATGAGACAAGGCCCTGTGATGGCAGAGTTGGCGAGGATGATGCTTTGCTGTATTCATCCTAAACTGGCCATCCAGTGAATCTTGTAAACATGACAGAATCCCCAGAAAATGATGCTGAATCGCCTTCTGCAGCTTTCCTACAATCAATCCTTGTGGCAGATTTGAGGCCCTGGGCAATACATTCTTTGGAGTGGGACAATGGTTTTTCCCACAATGCAGTAAAACTGAAGAATGAAAACTTACCACCCATTTCAAAATATGCAGGCAATATGTGGATCTGGCATATTTTTCCTGAAGCTAACAATTTTCTACTTACATCTCTAGAGTAATTTCTATGGAAACATTATTTTTTTCTAGGAACAGCACATAAAAAAGAATACTTCCTCTGTTGTGTTTTGATAGTTACCAGCTAGTGGTTACCATCCAATTAACAAGTAAAAAAGTTTTCTCATTGCCAAAAAAATGCACTTATAGAAAAATCTTCCCTGATGTTTGAGTAACAGAGAGGTGTAACACATTTCCCCCACCCCTTTCCGGAAATGTTACTGAGAACCACGGCAGATTTCCAAATCTAATGCAGGGCATTTGAAATCTGTGGGAATTTGCAAAAACATGAAATCTTAAAAAAAATGTCCATATATATAAAGATCAAAACTTGGCTGTAATCTCAGATTCAAAACATGAACCTAGAGCTCGATGTGGTAGCCTAGTGGTTAAATTCACATCTTGCATGTGCTGGGATCCCATACGGCATCGGTTTGTTTCCTGGCTGCTCCACTTCCTGTTCAGTTCCCTGCTTGTGGCCTAGAAAAGCAATGGAGGATGGCCCAGGGCCTGCATCCATGGGGGAGATCAGCAAAAGGTTCCTGGTTCCTGGTTTGGGATCTGCTCAGCTCTGTCCATTGTAGCTACTAGGGGAGGGAACCAGCACATGCAAGATCTTCCTGTCTGTCTCTCCTCTCTGTACATCTGACTTTCCAATAAAAATAAATAAATCTTAAAAAGAAAAAACATGAGCCTGGAAAAAAAAAGATAGTTTGAAGGGAATGAGTTTCATTCCCCTGGAAACTGACTCTAATTAAAGAAAAAAAAATTTTAAAAAGACATATTTTTTAGATACGTATAAACACTGTTTAACCTCAGCATTTATTGTTACTTCAGAAATACCATTAAAGTCTAATTAACAAATTCATTTTCTATTATTTTTTTCTTTAAAATACTATGAGAAATTTTAAAATGCTAGTATTCCTATGCAAATGAAGTAAAAGAGGCAAAAGAATAGTAAAATATCTACAATGTGATCAATCTGCCTCAATACAATACTTTTTGTAGGAAATTAAATTAATACAAAATGACAAATAAATACTATGGTGCCATGTTGCCAATACTCATTTCACGAATATTTGTGAATTACTAGTTTGTGTAGGAATAATGATTAAGGAAAAAATAAATAAATCATATATTTTATATAAATCACCCAGACTAGAAAGACCATTAATAGAATAAAAAATTACTGTTGATGCTTATGGATGTAAGAAGTGCAGGACCACAGAGTTTTGTTCAATTGGAAGACTTCATATCAATAGCAAATAGTGGAAAAATGTTTTGGAGTTGGATAAGCGATCATCATTTTGTCTTAATTCACTTAGTTGTAATTATATAATTGTGGACTCTACACTGCACAGCCAAGATTCCTCTTGAGTAATGAAGGATTAACTTCGCAAGATGCCCACAAAACACTCTTAACAATCAGCCTCCTGCTGGGATTGATTTAACTGCTTTGGCCTTTCCAGAGTTGACTGTTTTCAAATTTTGGATAATGAAAGAACAATGCAGCACAACTTCCAGGGCCTTCTCCACATCAGAACTTTTTGTATTGTTGGCTTGGTCTTGTATTGAGCCCGAATCTCAACTGCTTCTGTTCATGCCTGCTGCTGTTCCATGCCTTCTGTCCCTTGATACCAAGAGCACATTTTATTATCACAAGACTAACCTCTTATTCAAAATTTACTACTTGGAAAACTCAACCCAGGACTGCTGATATTAGTAGTAGTCCAGGCAAGCATACAATGGGATATTATTTTGGAGTCAAGTAACTCTCTGCCTGGCATAAAATGGGCACCAGGTGGCAGTGCAATTGTTACAATTTTCCACAGAGGTGGACCAGAATGGCTATGGTGATTTAAGCAATTTCCTAGCTAGTACCATGTACCAAAGACTTGAAAACATGTAGAAAAATTGCACTTACATGGAAAACTGAAATGAATGCTATGCTGAACATTATCATACCAGGGGAAATGTAAACCAAAATCTGAGAATGACTAATCAGCAATAAAAAACTGAGTGCAATTTCATTCTAA